TCCCAAGCCAGCCCGCCAGCCAAAACACCGTGAATTCCTTAGGGTGGTGCCAGTCTCATCTTCTTAACCTTCCCACACTCCTGTTGGGGCCTAAGGAAATGCTTATCTCCCCGAGCGTGGCCTTCATCAAACCATTCCATCACACATACATACATACATATTTCCAGGTGCAATCCAAAGAACTGGGTTTGACCAATAAAGCCCCATTTGTCTTGGTACCAAGGACTGCCTCCTCTGCACAGAGGTGATCTGGCCAACTCATCCTGGGCAGATGCCCCAGCAACATCTTTTAATGGCCCCCGTGTAGGGGAAATGAAGTAGGGGGAGCTCACAGACAGTGTTTTTCTGTTGCAGCCCCCACATTGTAGAACACTCTTTCCCTTTGAAATTAGATTGGCACCCCATTGCTGGCTTTCTGCAAATAGTTAAAGGCAGAGTGGTTCTGGAGGGCCTTTGGGAAATGAATGGCCACCATTACATTTACCACTGTTACGGCACAGTAAATAAAGTAACAAGCAATATGTAAAGTCTCAGTGGCCTTGCCCCTAGGCAAGTAGCAATGTTCTCAGAGCGGACTTGACATTCTCCATACACGTTGCTCCTCTAAACCTCACTGACTGGAATGGTGGGAGTTGTAATCCAGATGCATCTGGAAGGCAACAGGTTGGGGATAACTGTAATACCAGTGAAGCTTCTTGGGCAGATATTCCAGTTAAGGAAAAATGCATCCTCTTTGCAGATGGAATTTAGCAACCCCATTCTCAAAGATGCTGTTCTTCCCCTTATAATATCTACCCATTTAATTTCCTCCCCCAGGAGATCATGGTGGGACCTCAGTACCAGGCAGTTGTCCCTCTCCTGCACTTGAACAGGCAGGGTGAAAAAGGTGAGCAACTTTTCTTGTGTGACTCCTGGTTCCTTTGCTTCTGGCAGTGCGGCATGCATGTCTTTTACCTCCCTTCCCAGAAATTAACCTTCAGGTTCAGGAACTGCGCAAACTGGGCTGTCCTTGGACAAAACCAGCTCAGGATTTTGGAGTTTTGGAAAAGCAAAGAAATAGCAACTGCAAAAGTGAAAAGTGCTGTGTTTTACATACAATTAAAAGAACAAGCCTTTCAGGGGCACATTGCTTGAATGGCTAGTCTTCTCTGCAGCCTATTTAAGCTTTTTCATTGAGGTTCTCACATCGAAGCTAAGGTTCTCCCAGAACCTTTGTCACAGTATTGCCATGAGTGCAGCCAGGCCCTCGGACCGAGTTTGGTTGACCCCAGTTTCCCAGATTTCTTGTAACAGGAAGGTAGAAATGGTTTTCTCAGCTCCGGGTTCAGTGTCTCTCTCTGACACTTTTTTATCTAGTCTATGAAAATGATGACCAGTTGCTGTGGGACCCGAACATCCTCCCTGAGAGGGAGGTGGAAGAATTCCTCTTCCGAGCTATCAAGAGGAGATGGGATGAAGTCTCCAATGCCAGCCTTCCAGAAGGAGAGATGGTGAAGGATAATGAACAAGTGAGTATGGCAAGGGCTCCCACACCACGAGTGAGATTGCTGCAAGGGAAATGTTTGTGAGCAGTAGGAAAATTAATTAATGGGTTAATTTAAAAGCTTTGATGCACCCTCAAATCTCCCCCCAACAGAGAAGGAGACCAGTGCAACACAAAAGTAGCTTTGCCTGTTCTCAAAGGTGTTCCAGCCATAGCAGTGACTCTGACCTTGCATTTGTGCAACAGACTTGCCCTGGTCAGGTGCTACAGTTACGCACCATAGTTATTTTTAATGTTAGTTTGATTTGGGGGGGGGCTTAGTATGTTGTGGAAACCTACCCTTTTGAGATAGTTTATCAGTCAGCATATTGTGTAAACCCAAGAAATCAGTTGTAACCCAGTTAAGTGCAGGATGTGGACCCAGATTTAGAGATCCATAAAGTGAGTTTATGGAGTCCCATAAAGAGATGGGACTTTGCTGCCCCCACCTTACTGGCACAATCTTTTGAAAGCTAAAGGATGAGCAAATCCTAGAGTGAGTGAGTTGCGAGCAAATTGTAGGTATCAAAACTATCCATAGCAGTTGGGGACTTCTTGTGTGGTGTGTAGCAGTATAGCCATCATTTTCAGAGAATCTGTAGGGCTATATGTGATAGTAAATGTCTGTCTCTCTACTCATTATCTTCAGTTTGTAGATTTTTCACTCATGTAAAACATTTTGTTGGATGGTAAGAGGCAAGCTAAAGATGACCAGTTTTTTTATAGCTCGTAAAAGTGAGTGAGTTCACTGAGGCCGAGAAGGAAAAGGGAACATTTCAAAACACCTCTAAAGAGCAGATGGATATTTCATTGTCAGGCTTATCTGGGAAAAGGGCAGTTATTCTCTGTTTTGCCTTCTGGAAAAAAGAGGTTCAAACAACCGACAGAGACCCTGTCGTAATGAATTCTCATAAATGAGGGTGGGAGCTTTCCTTATTTAGTTTCCAAGATTCTGTACCTAAGTCCTGGATTTCTTCACATTAAACCTGATTAATGAAACTCTATTAATCTTGCTTACATGATTGTGCTCTGCTTGGGGTCTTGACACAGCCTAAGACAAAAAAAAAGTATGATGAAAGTAACATCTCTTTTATGTATTATTTGTATTTATTCATTTCTTACCCACATAGCCCTAACTCAAATATGATCATTGCTTTTATTCATGAGGTGAGTTACACAAATTCCCTTATAACTTTAGGGGGTTCGGCATCACAAACTTCGAGAACCGTTGTGGTAATGTTTATTTCCAGATATAGAGTTCTTTGCTCATTGTTTTCTTGAAGAAATTTGGAAATATTATGAAAATACCCCAAATACATAACAGAGAGGTCTTTTTCATGACCTTTTCATTACACATATGGGTGATAGGCCTACACAGCAATTATCACCTGAATCTTCTGGAGCTGATTTGGCAGTAAGAAACTTGCTGCTTGTTGTGTGTGTGTGATGAGCCAATGGCCCATGGAAGGCTGTCCTTTGTAAGTGTTATGGGGATGTGGCAGGAAGCTGCCCCCAGGCCTGCTGTGTCTTGGAGAAGATCACACATTTGGCATATTGTCAAAAATTCGCTAATTAACCACAGTGTAAATTCAATCTCTGGGATTGGGGAAAAACAGGAATATCTTCCAAACATTAATGATGAACACATGGATATTCCAAGGTCGGTCTTATCTAGAAGAAGGATGGTTAGTCTTCAGCTGGGCTTTCTGGGGACAAGAAGTTCAAACAGCTTTGAGAAACTCCACTCTATTTAATTCACTAATAAATGGGCAAAGTTGTGTTGCATTCAGTTCCATTATTTTGTATATTGGCCCTTTACCTTCTTGACATAAAGCTAATTAATGACGTTCCTAATGAATCTTTTTTGCTGGGTTGCACTCTGCTGTGAGGGACTTGACATACTAGCCTCACTGCACTTGGCTTCAGCTCTCCTATGAGGGGGGGAAAAAAACTAACATGACAGCAGCTGTATCCTCTGACCCACTTGGCTCTGTATTGATTTGCCCTACAGTAGTGTTTCTCAACCTTGGCAACTTTAAGATGAGTGGACTTCAACTCCCAGAATTCCACAGCCAGCCATGCTGGCTGGGGAATTCTGGAATTTGAAGTCCATCCATCTTCAAGCTGCTAAGCTTGAGAAACACTGCCGTACAGTCTCAAAGAGATATCAGTGATCTTGGTCCCAAGCTTATTGATTACTATCACTCTAACACACTTGTCAAGCCCAGTCCATATCTCTCCCTTTCAATATTAAGAGAGATCCAGGGAACAACACTACCCAGATGATGCTGCACAGGGCCAGGTTATGTGTGGGACTGCCTCTCCCTGAGGGTGCCTGCCCATCCCACCAGATTTGACAGAATGGACATGCTCCAGATCTCCTCTACCAAACATTGCAATCTGGCAAGACTTAGGAGGTGTGCCTTCTCTGTAGCCATGTCTGGCCTATGGAACAACCTCCCCCTGAGTTCTATCGGTCCTTTACCTCCTGGCCTTCCTGAAAGCCACAAACACCTGGCTCATCCCCCAGGCATTGGGCCAGGATGTGAGTTGATCCCAGCACATGTGCAGCTGGTGTGAGTTAGTATGGTACCTTGGTTAGAGTGTGGTGGTTTTAATTTTGTGGCGGCATGCTTGTATTTTAAAATATATTTAAATTGGTTTGATTGTTGTTAGCCTCCAAGGGTTATATTGCATAAGATGTGCAGCCATATAAATTTTTGAGAATGAGAGAGAGAAAGAAAGAAATAGTGATCAGCCATACTTCAGCAGCTCTTACCATCAGATGTGTACAAACCAGTATCAGCTGGTTTTTTGTGAGAAGATGGCATCTCTGCTGGCCCTTTTACCAAAGGACAAATGTTACATTGCTGTCATTTTTCTTGTAGAAACTTTATCCAAAAACAAACAAGCATGGCCAAACAAGTTGCTGATTTTGGCTTCTGCCATCTAGCAGGCATTATCAAATTTTGTTGCCATGCTTGGCTCAGATCTGAAATGCGTGCATGAGTGGAAGACCTTAATTGGAATGGTGAGGACCACTTCCAAGTGAACATTGGTGATATACTGCACTATGTGCCGAAGGTGGTAAAAAATGTGACTCCTGGAGCCTCACTCCCAAACCTTTCCACAAAGCAAGACTTGATTTTAGGAAGTGCATTCTGCATGTTCATCTCAGTTATTGCCACCTAAAATAAGGTGCCAAGCAACCAGCTACACTAACTGATAAGCCCAACAGCCAGCCACAGTGTTTCCCTACTTGCAACAGGCAAGGTGATATTCATAGGTATTAACTTGGACTCCAAGGCCCTGGTGTATCAGACCCCATCAGATGATCTGACTTGGGAAGGTGTCGCCTTGGTTCTGAGATTTTGACAGTCATCAAGTTGGGCTATATCCTGGAGTTTTTTCAGTGGTCTCTGGTGGGCTTAATAAAGCCCTCTCCTGCTCTCCTTCTGGAGGATGAAGTTCAGGATTACTCCTGCAGCAAGCAATATGATCAGTGTATCTCCTGCATTGGTACCTGTGGTATTTTCTCACCATAAGTCAATGTCCAAAGGAAAGAAGGAGGTGGTCCGTTCCATATTAGACTGCTGAAATGTGAACTCTTACATAAATAATGATGTGCAAATTGCATCAGAAAACACCGGTGCAGTTTTTATGTCAATGAAGATGGCAGAATTCAACCTCAGTCCTCATTACATTTGACCATCAACCTCTGGGACTAGTGCATTCCAGGCAACTCACTGGTAGAGGTCTATCTCACAAGACCCCAACAATGTTCAGTTGATACATGAATTACCTGGACCTACTTAAACTCCTGTCAAAATGACCCTGTATCTCAGGCGTTCCAACAATCATTTCCAGCAATGGAGATGTCCAAAACTTTATCAATTTGCCTCTGTCATCACAAAGTAGTGCCTGAGGTTCTCTTCCAGTATGGAGTGGCATTTGCTTGGGAATGTGTTCTTCCATCCCTGGATAAAATCCCTTGTCTGTGCATTCCTCCAATTCCATTAATTACCAACCTGCTCCTCCATCTTCAGGTTTCACATGTAGAGAGTAAGGAAGATGACCTCGATGGAGATACACAGACTCCACCACCAAATCAACAAGGGGTGAAATGTATCAGTTCCACAATGGACAGATAATATTCAGGAGAGACTCAGACAGACACCTCCCTAATTCACAGGACTATAAGAAGGGGGAGAAGGTACAACACAATCAGACTTGCAAGATTCTGTTATTATAGCTAATCTCAATAAAAGTAGTTTTAGTCTTCCTGTGGAGTTGATTTTCTGCTCTGGTCTGCCTAGTGGGCTGACATCACCACCCAGCATCCTGATAACCCTGGTGGCCAAAAAAAAATTCTGGATTTCCCACACATTTGTATATCTCTCACTGGCAAGTTTTTAGGTTGCAAACAGAGCAGTCCTCTTCCTTCAGAACAGTAGCATGACACATCATCGAAACCTATAATTCCTCCACATGACAACATAGATTATCTGCAGAAATTCACAAAAGAGGTAAAGAAGGTTTTTAAAGGATAGAACTACTAGGGAGAAAGGTTTATGTCCTAGAGTAGAACTCCTTAATTCTGCTTCAGTTTTTCCTGTGTTTGTGAGATATCCTGCAGCAGTTGCCCCATTGATAGTTATAGTATTGGTTTGCATCCACTGACAAATTTCTTCTGTGCAGACCTCTGGCAGTAGTACTCCCTGCATTGAGAGCTGAACCCATCATGGCTGTGGGATCCATGTATGTACAGCTGCTTGTTTTAAAGCCTTTTTGATAGCCATCACATTAGGAAAGCAGGTATGGAAACCATCTGCTTTCTGAGTTGATGCTTGCTATTGTGTGTTTCCTAGGAATAAGGTTCCCCATGGCCAAATGTTTGCTTTTTTTTGTCTTTGTGTTCTTCAGCCTTAAAAAGGTCCCTGTATTCTCTGGACATCAATAGAGAATTGGTATAATATCTTGAGTGGACTGTTGGTTTTAAGTATTCCCAGTATGTATTCCAGTTTGGCTCCATGGAAGAGATTTCTGTTTTCTTTGTGACTGTTTGTAAATGGATTGTGAGGGAATATGACCCTTTCATATCATCTTGAGAAGAAACCATCCTCTAATGGTCTTTGAGCTCTTTCCACCTCAACAGTGAATGGTCAGTTCAACTGCCCTTTATAGAAACCTTGGATTGCCAGAACTGTGTAAGACAGCAAGGTATTCTCAGCCTTCCTTCTCTTTTCTTTTAACATTTGTATTGAGATAGTCAAGCCAAGGGAGATGTGTCTTCCAGAACAATGGTCCTGACTGTCAGCCTTCATTTGCTCCAGAGGTACCCAGTGTGCATATTGGTAAGCTCTCTACTCACCCATATGTGTCATGGCAAAGATCCCGAAGGAGAACAACAGGTTGCTTTCCTATGACTGTGGTTGTTTATGTGGCTGCCTTTGGAATCACACAACTTACCAACTTCTCCCTCATCAGTACCTGCCTTACTGAGTTACTGGTGGCTCCCAGGCTACTGCATTAGCCCCTGGAAAAACTAAAAGAATCCCACCCAGGGCAGGAGCGCAGGGCAATGCAATTCCTCCTGAGTTGCTCAGTATTCTACCACCAGCTGCCATGTTTCCTTTGGGGCTCAGACAGAGGAGGGTCTTTCTAAGCTCTGCCTGGAGATGTCAAGGTCTTTAGCACCAAACATCACTGTGCAAATTAGGGACACTGCAGTTGAGATAGGTCCCTCCTTAGCAATTGTTATTCCATAGTTTTGATGCAACATGAGAGACACAGACAAGGCATTGCTTCTCTCTATCCCCTTCCCTGCCCAGGTTCCTGTTTCTCAGCAGCTCCTTTCTTGTCCCCCTAGGGAGCCAAAGCTGCCTTTCTAATATGCATCCCTGTGGGATTGTATCTCCCATAGGCACTCTACGAATTGGTGAAATGTAACTTCAATGCAGAAGAAGCATTGCGGCGACTCCGGTTCAACGTGAAGGTCATTCGAGGTGAGACAGAGGGCGTGGCTATCTTTCTGTCCTTTGGCAGAAGTTCTGTAGTCCCACTGGAACCCCCTGGACTGTCCAAGCCAGCCTTTCCAAACCTGGTGCCCTTGAGGAATATTAGCCTAATTCCCATCCACCCTAGACCAGGGTTCCTCAACCTTGGCAACTTTAAGACAGCCATTTTAAAGTTGCCAAGGTTGAGGAACCCTGCCCTAGACAACCTAGTGCTCTGGCTGAGGAGGAAGGGATCGGTCCATCCAACACATCTGGTGTCTACAAGAGTGAGGAACACCAGGCTTCTGTTTCTTCAGTCCCATCTCCCTCAAGGAGCTTGGAAGGGAAGGAAATCCTATGTTGTTTTCCCTCTTGTTTTTATCATATAATTCTGTGAGTTGATGTAATGGTATGTGGGAATGACCTTGGGAGATGGGACCATGGTCAGATAAGAGACAGCATAGCCCACAACTGGATAGTGGGCAGGGCAAGAGGCTCAGAAGGGACCCTCCCTAGTTTTTCGGGCTGTAAAGGAGATGGTGGGAGAAATGTACTTTGAGACTTACAAGATTGACGTTGGCCTCACAGGGTAAACCAGAAAGGAATCACAACCAGATGAGCTAATTCTACTGTATTGTAAAGCTACATTAACAGAATCTTGCAAGTCCAAAAGTACAATATTCCCCCGGTCTCCTTTACAACCCAACTACTATCCAGTTGCGGGCTATGCTGTCTCTTATCTGACTATTCCTTGTCAGGATCTCTGGGCCCAGTCTCCCAAGGTCTTTCCCACATGCCATTACAGGTAGGTTAAACTTCTTTAAAATTTCGTTTTAATAATAGTTTATTTATTAAAATGTTTAAAGAAATAATAAATAGCTACATAAAAGAAATAGAAAAGATATAAAGTGACATAGTAGATAAAGAATAAAATATCAGTAAATGAACAGAGAGTTTGCAATTATCATAAACTTTGAAATTCATTATCTCATTAATTAGTGAAATGTATAGAACTAAGTTTGTTATATCCATCTTAACTAGAAATCTCTAGACATTAATATTATAATAACATTAATATTGATAACACCACCATTGGCATTCATTAAAAAGGAAAAGAAATAGAAAGGAAAGGGGAAAAAAAGTTTGACAAAAATAAAAGGAAAAAGAGGTAGGTTAAACATAAAAGTTACAGATCGGTCAATTTCACCCCCGAGCAGGGTTTTAAACCTGGGTTTCCAGTCTATCTTTGTCAACCGCAAAATCCAGATGGACTCAAGGGCAAGAATGAATTAATGAAGGGAGGGTTTGAACACCTCACTAAGCCATATTACAGTTAGGTCTTAGATGTCATCCAAACCTGGTCTGCGGCCATGTTTGTGATTAAAATGGAGAGTGTTAACTACATTATGAGGCCATGCCTTGTTTTAGAGTTAGAGCATCTAAATCTTCATGCATGTCGGAAGTAGGATCAATCAGCAGTTAAATTCCTCTGCCAGCTTCGGCGTGAAGATCTTGACGGTGCGGGGAGGAGGGCTAGAGCACAGAGCAGCAGCATTTCCACTTCTCTGGTCTGCTGTACACTCCTCGTGGCTGCAAACTGGCTGGAGGATCACTTTAGACTGTAGGAATTAGACTTTCCCAGCCTGTGTCCAGGGGCTTTGACCCCAGTCAGGTCCTGTGTGACCTTACCTTTCTTTTTTTAAGCAAACTGAAAACCGAAAGTGAGAGCTGTCCGTTTAAAACTGGCTGGCTTATGAGCTGGGGAATTGCTGCAGATGTACAGTAAGCGCAGGCTTCCCCAACCAGGCGCCCTCCAGGTGTGTTGAAAGAAACACTCCTAGAATTCTCTTCCCAGTGTATTTGGCAGGCACTGAGTAAAAAGCCCCCGCTATCAACTGCAAGCCCAGCCTAACCCTAAATCAAAACCTAAAATTGATCCAACCTCCTTTGTTCCTACATAAATCGTCGTAAGGTTTGATTCCCAGACTGCCAAAGTTGCAGGATACAGACGTCAACAGCTGCCTGCAAGATTCTCCATTACCAGTGAAGACAGCCACTCAGGAAGGCTGTTAGAAGGAAAATCACTGTCTCCACCCTAGCACGCGTGTAGACATATCTGTCCTAAATGGGAAGTAGTCCGGTTGCTGGGATTCTTGTAACCCCATTTCATCCCTCTCAGTAGACCTTGCTACGCAGATCTTGTGCACTCTCAGTTTTAGTCAGCAGCCAAAAAGCTGACAGTTCCCAAGACAGTTATATATGCCTCCTGCCTCGAAGGAGAGAACTTTGGATAAGTGATTGATGCCACAATTAAATGTAGTCACCTCCAGTGAAGTCAAGATCTTGCTGTAGAATGACCTGGCAAGACCAGATGAAAATATCTGGCAGCACTTAGTGATTAAAAGTGAAGTGTATTTCTTTTCTTTTTTTTTCCCCTTCATCTGCCTCTTTTCAAAGCTGTTCAAGTGGTTGAACAGCTTTGAAAAAAACCTACATGGAGTTCTCTAATTTCTAAACGTTTAGGAAAATTCTCAGTGAATTCTTTCTCTATGAGAAATACAGAGATGATCATAGAGACAGTAGGCATCAACTGTTAGTCAAATGTGACTTTAGCCCAGGAAAACATGAGAAAAAAAGCTCGAGATTCCCTTTGGTATAAGAGGAAGGGAAGGAGAAACACTGTCAGGCCTTCAAGATTCTGTTATTATAACCTATATCAATAAAGTCAAATTCTAGTATTCCTTGTGGCGTTTATTTCCTGACCTGACCTACCTTGAAGGGCTGACATTCTCCCCCTGCGTGCCTCCCCCCACCCCTTGCAGATGAGCTCTGTGCCTGGAGTGAAGAAGAATGCAGGAACTTTGAACATGGATTTCGGGTGCATGGAAAAAACTTCCACCTTATTCAAGCCAACAAGGTAATCTATAGCAGCTGTAGGTCCTGTGTGAACACAGATGATTCCAAGCAAGGTTGTGGCCGTATTGCAAACGTACAGAAGGAAAAACTAGGTGGCTGGATGCAGACTTCGCTGCTCACCCCCTGTTGCCTTCTTGCACAGCCTGGCAGTTTTGGGCATTGGAGTAACAGTTTAGCCTGAGGGGCCCAAGCTTAGGGAAGGTTACTGGCTTAGCCAGATCTCTTCCTATGCTCTCATGTGAGCTAGAACCGCACACCAGGGACACGGAGGATAATTCCTTTCGCATCCTGCCTGCAGGCTTCCCGAGGTGTGGGCTAGATGACAGGCCTTCTCAGAGGCAGCCCCAGCTTTATGGAACTGTCTCTCCCCAGAGATATATGTAGCCCCTACCTTATTAATCTTCTGAGCCAAGGCTGTATTGTTTCAGCAAGCCTTTGGCCACTAGAGGTACTGAGCGGTTGTGTTCATCCTCTTTATTTAATTTCGGATTTGGTGATTATGCGTATTGCTGAACACCACACAGAGTTCTCCCGAACTGGGCTGGGTTATAAGTATTGCACATAAAAATTTTTTTAAAAAATTACTTATCTCAATCTGTCCTGTTCCACTCTTTATCCCCCAAGGTTTCCAAAGTGGTTTTTGTGACTCTAACAGGTCTCGCTAAACCTGGTTTAACAAACCACCATTGCTATTATTCATTTACTATTGATGGATTATGGCAATTTGTATGCTGTCTACTTGTCAGACCGTGGGCAGCTTACCAGATTAACAGATTAAAACCTTGTATAACAAAATCCAAAATTAGAATAGGTATTGACTGCTGTCCCCAGTTAAAAATCCACCTCTCCAAATGGTCTATGGAAGAGGACTGTTTTCCCCCATTTCCTTAAGGAAATAAAGGGTGAGGCTAACCTAACCTCGGAGTGAGTTATTCAGCCATGGGGGGGCTGCCGCTAAGAAGGTCATCCTCTGGTCCCCAACCCTCTTGTTCTTTCATGGGGGGGCGGGGGAATGCTGTGGCAAAAGATGCCCAGCTATCACTTCCACTGACACCCACACCATATGAAAAGAATAGCTAGGCTCCCCCAACACGCAGGACCACCACCTACCTACCCAACTCCACTTTAACAGAGTCAAGTGGCTTGTGCAGACTCAGTCAGTCAATAAAATTTGTCCATATTCAGGATCAGAAATCGCATACAAGCTTGTATTTTGCTTTAGTTTCCTTGTTCGTCTGTTCCTTAATCAACAGCTTTTGCCAGAAGGAATGTATAATCATCAATAAATGCCTTAAAACATCTTATTTCATGTCAGTTAAAAGAGACCCTTGCTTGCCTGTAACAAGCAAGATGGTCTCTGCCCCCTAGGCTTACAGTCTAAAAGAAACACCCCAAAAGAAGGTGGGTGGGGGAAGGGATGGGATGGTAAATGGAGAAAAGTCCATTTGGGGTTTCAGTTCTCAAAGTTTACGGTCATGGCGTCTTGCCTTTGGTGAGTTAGAAAGGAAAACGGCTTGTGAAAATTAGGAGCCTGATAGAAGAATTGTGGGGGTGGGGGGGGAGATTCAGAAGAGGGAGAGACCCAATTTCCCCTCTCTTCCTCCTGTGCAAACTGATGGAGTAGCTGCTAACTAAATACTGAGAGTGAAGCAAAGGAGGCTGTTGGAGATAAATAATGCCTGATCTACCATACAGGATTACACCTGGATCGTCCCCTTTGAGCCTTAAAAAGCCCTGCAAATGCTGTAGGTGGTTGTCCTCATTTTGCCTTTCAAAGATCACCTTTTTATACTGATCCTTGTCCTCTGTCAAGGATGCAGGAGGATTCCCGTACCTGCTTGGTATGGAAAGAAAGTGCACTTAAAAGGATTCTGCTATGTGTTTGCCATTCCTAGCATTCCCAGGAAGCCTGGTCTTTCCAAACCGCTCCTCACCCTTCTCCTTGTTTCCGCAGGTTCGTACCCGGTCGGTGGGTGAGTGCGTGGAATACTATTATATATGGAAGAAGTCGGAGCGATACGACTACTTCACCCAACAGACGCGGTTTGGAAGAAAAAAGTATGTCCTCCGTCCTGAAGCCATGTGCCTGGCAAGAGCAATAATGTCTGGTGTCACTGGCCGTAGGCGGCCAAGCGTGAGTCCCTGTGGAATCGTGCCCGGAGAATTTGGTCCAGATCCCAAGGGCGCCTTGAGTCCAGAAATCTGCATAAGAGGAACTGACAGCAGGAAGGCAGGATAGGGAAGATGAGTGGAAATTAAAAGGTCCCCTTGCTAAACTCAGAATTTGGCAGTAGCAGTCCCTGGGATTTAAAAGAATTCCACCATGGATTCTGCTGGGAGGGAATTCAGTAGTTTCTCTCGCTGGGGATCTGTGGCTGCACGAACTCTCACCCCTGGATTTCAACCCCTTTTTATTTCAAATTTAGTCACCACCCAGCCCCTTTCCCTTTGAAAATTCACGGGAGCATCCAGGGCTGGGCAGTGTACTCAGCGGATGACGTAGCTGGATATATCTGGTTTCTCCATATCGTGTTCTTTAATCTTGCAACCCCTCTTTCTTTTTGGAAGACTGAATTTGCCTTACTTGTTTTCCTGTCTTTGGGAAGGGGCCATTTTAGGGAGAAGTCACATATTCATGTTGAAGATCAGGAGATTCATGATCGAGGTTTCAAAGCCCCTTCAGTGATTTTGCTGTGATCTGATGATTTGTTTCTTTTTAATTTGTCAGTAAGGCCTACAACATCGTCACTCCATCTCAACAGTCTAATTTAATGTGTGGGTCGATGTGCCTGGACAAGACCATTGTTCTAGAGTTTTTTTGCTTCTTGAGAAAAGGAGGGAAACTTAGTGATTGGGGTGACCTCCCAATAAGTCCTGATCCATTTTCTGCTCATCTCTCTTGCAAGGGAGAGGCCATGCAAAGCCAGATGTTTTTCATTGGATCGGAGGCAGTGGTTTTCCCGTAACACTAAGCCAGAACATAGTTGGGTTCTTTTTGGCTTAGTTCAATGTGGCTGGTTCAACAAAAGAGACCAGCTTAGTGTCGTCAGGCCATCTGCTTCCTTGTTTTCCAGTGCCCAGGCTAATCAGATCTGGAGAAATCCCAACTAGGTCCTTCACTCCTCTGGATCCACTCCTCCAAGCTCCAGGGCAGTTGCAGCTTCTCAGAGGTTGGGGTGGCTGCTTTGAAGACCTCCTGAGGTCTTCTGGATAGGTGTGTACATTCCCAGAAAGCACTGCTGCTAAGACAGCATCCCAGCAGAAGGGCCTTTTAAGCACGCATGGACCTACCTGTCCACATGTTCTCAGGGTGACTTTGAAGCAGCTACCCTGGGACTTTAAAGCAGCATTTCTCAACCTTGGCAGCTTGAAGTCCACACCTCTTCAAGCTGCCAAGATTGAGAAATGCTGCTTTGAAGGGTAGCCATTGCAACTTTGCAGAGTGGATGGGAGGGGTGCAAAACCTCATGTCATGATTCTCCCAGGCTGATTGCCTGTAGAGCAAAACAGCACACTCTATAGGCAAGAGGGGGAGCAACCTTAAGACTTGAGGGGATCTCTAGCGGAAAGAAAGCAGAGGGAGGAAAAACTTTTTTTTTTAAAATAAAACTCCCTCTTCTCTTTTTTTAAAAGAGAAGGAGTTTCTCTGTCTAGGATCTAAAATGTATTCTCGCCTAGTTCTGCTCTTCTAAGAAAAGAGTCCAAACTCTTGCCAGGCTTACTGAGGCCTTTAGACATACTTGAAGTAGTTCTCTTAACCTCAGCTTCCGCTTTCCCCCGAAATGGAAATTGTTAATCTCTTGTTTATGGGCGACTCTTATAGGATTGCAGAGTGTGGAAGCCTGATAGGACTAATCTGTTCTGTTCATATGGAAAAACCGTCTCCATGTTTGGCCTTCTTTCGGCTTCTTTGTCTCCCCAACTCTGTAGGGATTACGTGGATAACTTTTTAGATGGCGGGGAAGTGGAAAGCGCTAACCGCTCACGCGGCTCCCCACCCATCGCGTCGGCCACTAGTTGCCTGGACTCCTGTTTCAACGCGGATCATTTAACAATGGAGAGCACAGGTACATCTTCACAAGCTTGTCTGCGGGGCTGTCTTCGGGATCCCAGAAAACCTGGGTGATTAGTTCTGGGTGTGGGTACGCAGACATTCAAGAATGAGAAGCAGAATCATTTGGATTCTAGGAACAGACACCCTGCGTGGATTTAGATCAGTGATGGCGAACCTTTGGGGCTCGGCATGTCAAAAATTTGGAAAATGCCGAACTTGAGTCTGCTGGCGTGTCACCCCCTCCACCCCCCGAACAAACGAGATGGGCGGTGACAAATCTGATATATAAATAAATAAATAAATATAAATAAATAGATAAATATAAATATAAATAAATAAATAAATAGGCGGTAAAAAATTCTTTACATGTTCATTTATTTAAAAAAAAATACAGTCCAGTCATGTGTGGCGCTGTGTATTATACAAAGAAACATCAAATGATTACAAAAATGAAATACGAGTAAAACAACCTCGGTTTCTTTGGTAACCCAGACAGGGAGAACAGTTGTTGTCGGGTGTTGGTGAACGCTGGCGTGTCACCCAGAATGTTGTGGCGTGTCATCTTTGACATGCGTATCATAGGTTTGCCATCACTGATTTAGATAAATTCCAAGTCTAGCTTCTGCATGTAGAGAGGAAGAAAGTTTGATGCATTTCATATAAAAATATATGGCATTGCTATGTACCAAATCAGTCGAGGTAAGTTGAGCTGAGCTGAGTTGAATGAATTCAGTTTTGCTGTACTTTATGCATGTAACAGAATGTAGCCTGCTCTAACTAGACCAAAAATGCATCAAAAAAGAAAGTTTTCCTGCTAGTTGAATATGCCTGGATTCGGGGCTGGATCCTTCTCTTTAAGCTTCCTCTCTTTTGCACAACTGAATTCATGCTCAGAAGCCGTGCTTTTCACATAGTCCGTTTATATCCTTGGCTAGTGGACCTGTGAATCTTAGGGAAGTTTGGGAAACTCAGGTTCCTGTGTGGTATTGAAGGAACTGGGTTTCTTTCCCCCCACCCCATCCCCTACAGAGCCGTTGAGCATCGAGAGCGCAGCCTGCAGTCTGGGCAGCACCAGTGAATCTGGGCACGGTTACGAATGCAGCACGCCTTCAGAAACAAACTGTTCCTTTGACCCCCCCGAGGAGGTGCCCCTCGCTAGCCGTGTCCCAACTTACCTTCAGCACCCACCAAATCCCTCTGAAGCTGGATTCTACCCGATGGCTGCAGCAGACAAGCCGGAGGAGTCCTTGCGGTGCTCGGGAGAAGCTATCGCCGTGGACTTCACCCTCCCTGAGAGCGTCACAGAAAGGCTACCTTTAATTTCCAGCCACGCGGGACTGGAAAGAGATCCAGAGACGTTGGTAGCCCCTGCGCAAGTGTCCTTATCTGTCCCCGATTTCAGCATCCTCGGCCTTGGAGATGTAAATAGCTTCCTGGCCTCTCAGCAAACCTGTCCGGCACCGGTGGCCCATTCAGACTCGTTGTCTCAGTGACGGTGGCCCCCGAGAGGCCCATTGTAGGCCAGGAGCAACCAGGACTCCGTGGGCCCAAGGGGACAGGTCAGAGACCTCGCTCGATTATTATCTCTGTCTGGGCCTTGATGACAAGCCTGCTGCTCTTCCTCTTCCCAAACCTGAGGAGCGCCAGTTCCCCACCCGCCCCATCCCTCAAAGTTTCAATGTCTCTCCAGCAAAACCAAACGCCTCCGTCACAATCTCCTGCACAGCTTTCCTGGGAGCTGGCAGAAGGGAACTGTGGCCCCCATGGGGTCATCATGGACGGGGAGCCCAAAGCCATGCGGGACAGACAGAGTCTTCCCCCACCCGCCGTCTCCACATTCAGCCAAACGCCTCACGTCGCCAGTTGAAGGTGCTTTGGCCCCAGAACGGACACCCTGCAGGGAGGAAGGCTGACCACGAGCACTTTGAAGAGGGAGGGGCTGGATTGGGGTGTAATGGAAGGTTTTCTGGCGTACAGGACTAGACGTGAAATGCATCGGGTTCCTGATGATGAGGAGCAAATAGGGTAGAGAATACCTGAGTTTTAGTTTCAGTGTCAGGACTGGTACCTCTCTGTTTTTGTCTTTTCTGTACACCTGACGTTTGTGTGTGTGTGTGTGTGTGTGTGTGTGTGTGTGTGTACAAGCGCGCAGGCACATGTGCGTATGTGGAACGACTTGTTGCCAAATTTTGTGACTGCATCCTGTGTTGTTAGGACGAATGGAAATGCTGTTTGGTCCTGTTTCTCCTCCCCGTTACTTCTGACTGTTGGGGGCTTCCTAGAACGCAGGTGCAGTTTCTGGGCAGAAGCAGTCCAGAGCAAGGCGGTTCTCTCTGATCCTAGTGTTTCCCAGCCTTGGCCACTTTAAGATGTGCAGACTTCGACTTCCAGAATTCCCTAGCCAACATTCATGGACTTCAACTCCCAGAATTCTCCAGCCAGCATGCCAGTTGAGGAATTCTGGGAGTCGAAGTCCACACATCTTAAAGTGGCCAAGGTTCAGAAACGTTGTCCTACGGTAACCCGCAATCTGTCGCAAGGCTTTTTGGTGAGGACAGAACCACATTTAGCGAAGGATCTGCCATCGTGCAAGGATGGAGGTCAGCTGGCAAAAGAGGAAGGGGCGGAAGAAAGGAGCTAGAGGGGAGTTTGGCTTAGCGGCCTCTTTGGATGGCATTCAGCGGCCCCCATTCTTCCCTGGCCACCCACCCACCCAAAGACGTACATTCCACATTAGCAGAGTGATTTCAAGCAAGGGAGAGATTTGAAAATCCATTGATTTAATGTGTTTATTTTTGCTAGAAAGATTATTTTTCACAACCTAGTCCATTCGTAGCAGTTACAGAACTGCTGCTTCGGTGTGCCAAACTGAGACGTGGGGGAGCAGGGAGGAGTAAGAGAGGGAAGGCAAGTGTGAAGAACTCCCCCCCGCCCCCAGCTCAGTTGTTTTGACCAGCCAGAAATGTTAACAAGATTAGCAAGGATGAAGACTGTGCCAAACACAGCTCTCTTCTCTCACCTTTCAGTGGTGGAGGTTTTACTGTTACTGGATTTTGTTTCAGGCCTTTGGTAAGACCCTTTACATTTTCTCGTTTGAAATGGTGAATTCTTGGGGGGCGCAGAGCCGCATTGATACCTGTAAAGACACCCCCTCCTCCAATTCCACCAACCTGTCCTTGCAATCATCAGATAAGAGACAGCACAAGCTTTGCTTTATCCTCGATTCCTATAACTGGAGCCTTAGAACTGAGAAAGTATAAAATGGAGGAGAATGGGAAATGAGAAATCAACCTCCCACTGATCCTTCACCTTGCTTCCATCCAGTTAATCGCTGCATCATTTGTTGCAGTTTCTGCTCTGGATGTTTTGGGGAGTGGGCGGGGGGGGGAAGCCAGAGGGGATTGAAGTGTTTTTGGTTTTTTTTTTTAAATCGTTGTGGATCCAATCACAGATTTAATCGTCCTTCATCCTCCCAGCCTCTTTTGAAGTGGAAGGTTACTGGCTGACTCACGTCTCCCCCACCACAAACCTTGTCAATTACAGAGAGCCTCGGGGGAAAAAAAAAACTTTTGCAGAAATGGGGCGCTAGGCCACGGGGGAGCAAAGCCAGAGCTGCAAAATGAGATGGTGATGACAAGATGTCGAAGGGAGCGCTTGCTGGCCGGAGCAGGCCCACTTAGGGAGCAGCTCTGGTGGTGCATGGAACGAACAAAGATGTCCTACAGCTGGGGGTTCCTGCAGCTCAGCGAAGATAAAACCCTTTTTATAGGGCTGTCAGAGAGATGCATTTACTTTTTCTCTTCCAGTTCTTGGTTACGATTCAACTTCTGCCAGGGTGCTCCTCTGGACTCAGTGAGGACAACGATTTGCACAACGGGTTTCCGCTGAGTTTCACCATGGGATTCGCAGCAAACAGAGTATCGTATTACTGATCCCACTCAGTTTTCTAATGTCCCATGTTCTGTTCTTCCTCTCCTCCCACCCCCTTTCACTTACTCATTTAATCCTTGGCTATTCTGGGGTTCTTGATTCTGTCATGCTCTGCCCCAGACAAGTCAATCTGCAGCTCTCAGGGTTAAATTTCTTCCAAGATGCTTCACACTTTCAATCATTGTTCTGGATACTGTAGGGTGAAACACCCTAGTTTTGAGGATGCTTGTCATTCATTTGCACAGAGCTGGATCTGTCCTTTTGAGAAGGAGAGAGAAGTCTGGCAACTTTTCATTTCTTAATATATCTACGGGGCACATTTTCAGGAACGTTGACAGATGAACACACCACACACACGGGATAAATGATGGATTGGTGCATTCTTTCTCAGGTCACCAAGAAGAGTTCCACTTCCCCCTTAATTCTGATGTCCAGAATGCTTTCCTTCTCTTGCTGCATTCCTATGTTCTACCAGTAGGGGGCAAATGTTCTGCCATCGGGTTGCCCTATTGGCAGAAAGTTGCAATTGCAACAGAAAGCTCTTGTGTGATCTTTGCCCTTCACTGTATCTTGGAGAGGGGACTTGGACCATACAAGTTTGTGTCTACTGGGTTTCATCCATGTGCCCTTCTTGATGGATGTATTCCCCCCCCCAACACCTTCTTCTAATGGAGGCAACCATCAATCTGTACAAGCTCCTTTGTTCATAATGCCCTTTCTCAAAAAAAAAGAAAAAAAAGTTTTCTCTCCAATGAATTCATTTAGCATCCCGTCTCTTGCTTCCTTAAGAATGACCCTGTTTCATTTATTCTGTTTTAATATTTGAAAATGTCTTATTTATACTATGAATTTTCCAAGTTTGTTTACATATGGGGGGGGGAGTGGTTTTTTTTTTTTTTAAGTAATGTGGTGGTGGGGAGGAGAGCTGTCCATCAAAGGAAGAAACAGTGACAGCTTCTCTCTTCTTTATCCCTCCCCCGGGGGATTTTGTTACAAAGCATAATTTCTTTCAACTGCTTTTCTCTTACATCCAATTTCCTTGTCACCTCCCCCTCCCCCCCGCCCCACTACTGCTGAAGCTCGGAGGGTCTCCACTGTGAAGTGATATTGCCTTGAATACCCTTCATTTATTTATTTAATTAAAAATCTAGGTTGGGGGGGGAGAAAAACCAAATGGGAGACTTGTGTCTTTTTTTAAATATATATCTATATAGATACACTGCCTTCTTTCTGTTTCTCTTTCCCTTCCTGTTTTCCTCTTCTCTTTTCCCTTCCCTTTCAATTTTCTAATCCATTTTCTTTCCTTTTCCTGTCTCATTTTCTTTTTTCCATTCCCTTTCTTTCTATTGTAAGGTGCCTATCTGTGGGAGATCTTGGCTGCCCAACTGGAAGTTACTACAGTGTTTTTCCAAACTTTGGCAAGTTTTTAAAAGGTGGGGTTATAACCCC